CAGATCCTCAAGCTGTCCCCTGGGTAGAGTGCTGTGGCATCACAGCTCACAGCAATCTCCAATTCCTGGGCTCAAGAGAGTCTCCTGCCTCAGCCTCCCAAGTAGCTGGGACCACAGGCGCCGGCCACAACGCCTGGCTGTTTTGTTTTGGTTGCAGCTGTCATTGTTGTTTTGGCGGGCCCAGGCTGGATTCAAACCCGCCACCTTAGGTGTATGTAGCTGGCACCTTAGCCACTTGAGCCACAAGCACAGAGCCCAATCTTCTTCCTTTCTTGAGGCACATTTTCTCCTCCCCAGAGCTACCTCTTCCACTTGTGTGCATTGTACAAGTTTAGAAGGATGAAATCTCTACCTAATACCTAACTCAGATGAGCAGCAGTCACAGAGGAAAGTTCCTATGGAAAGACCTTCCACTGTTTCAGATACCATACTCACCCTAAACCTTGGCAGCTGACAAAACCAGTTTTCTAAGTGTAGGCTGCTATCACAGTGTACCACAGACTGGGCAGCTTATAAACAACAGAAACAGTTCTGAAGGCTGAAAACTCCAAGATCACAGCATGGGTAGATTCTGTGTCTGATGAGGGACTGCTTTGACTGCTGCCTTCTGACTATGTCCTTCCTGGCTGATAGGAGTTTTTGGAGTCCTTTATTAAGGTACTAATCCCATTTGTGAGGATATAAATATTCTTTCTATAGCACCAATCAAGACAATAATTCAAAACCATTTACTCACCTGGTAGGCAAGCTAAACATTTTGAGGCATTCAAATACCTCATTATAATGATTTTTTTTAAGATGAAAACTTCTCAATTGTGTTTATTTCACCAAGAAGGGTATACATGATCTAATTTTTAGAACTGATAGCATGAGGTTTGATTCAAAGATGACAGTGCAATGATTTAGAAAAAAAAATAGGCCATTCAGGGGCGGTGCCTGTGGCTCAAGGAGTAGGGCACCGGCCATATATACCAGGGGTGGTGGGTTCGAGCCCTGCCCCAGCCAAGACTGCAAACCGCCCCCCCCAAACATAGATCTTTCTCCTTTTGTACCTTGCCATTCAGTTCCTTTTAGACAGCACTTTTTTTTTTTTTTTTTTTTTGCCAGGGCTGGGTTTGAACCCACCACCTCTGGCATATGGGGCTGGTGCCCTACCCTTTGAGCTACAGGCACTGCCCTGGACAGCACTCTTTACCTGTTTCTTTTGTATCTTTTTGGTCTATGCAATTATAAATTTATATGCAATATATCTTTTTATTCCCTGATCCAAGTCGAAATATATTTACTGCCCTGTACCTTGCCTTTGCCATTAACAAAGGCATTTAAGTATGTAGAGCCATTTCATTCTCTTTAATCATTGCATAGTGTTCTTTTGTGTGGAATGTGCCACACTCTTACTGTATTAGAATATTAATCAGAAACTTAGGCTCTAACTGATGGACATTTAGATTGTTTCCAATCTTTAGCCATTAGAAAAATGCTACAGTGAATATCCTTATACATAAATTATTTAGCATGTGTTACTATTATATCTGCAGGCTAAATACCTGGGAGTGAGATTGCTGTTCTATGGGTTATGAACATTTATAATATCAATAGATACTATCAACTTGCTTTCCAAAGTTTATCAGTGTACACATGCCCCAGCAATGTCTGAGAGTTCTGTTTCTCCATGTCTTATCAACACAATGTGCTATAAAATTTTTGCATCTTTGCCAATCTGATGGTTACAAAATGTTATCTTCCTGTGCTAGTAATTATCATCATCTCCAAACTTATTTCTCCACGTCTAATTTCTTTCTGTTTTTTTTTTTTTTTTTGGCCAGGGCTGGATTTGAACCCACCACCTCCGGCATATGGGGCCGGTGCCCTACCCTTTTGAGCCATAGGCGCCACCCTCTTTCTTTCTTCTTCTTCTTTTTTTTTTTTTAATTTTTTTGAGACACAGTCTCATTATGTGGCCCTCGGTAGAGTACTGTAGTGTCACAGCTCACAGCCACCTTAAACTCTTGGGCTTAAGCGATTCTCTTGCCTCAGCCTTCCGAGTAGCTGGGACTACAGGTGCCCACCACAACACCCAGCTATTTTTTTGGTTGCATTTGTCATTGTTTAGCAGGCCCAGGCCAGGTTTGAACA